GGGGGGGGGGGGGGGGGGGGGGGTGTGTGCAGGCTGTGTCATGGATGGAAAGATTGTAAATCCCCATTGGGCAGAAGAGAAATCCTTTGCAGTACTGTTTATGTCCGTCTAACAGTCTGCATCTATTACTTCTTGAACATGTCCTGCAGGGGCCCTGGTAGGTATTTGATGACTGTGTCTAGAATGCTCTCTTCTTCCTCCTCCTCCTCATCCTCACAGCCAGGAGGGATTGCCTTCTTTGGGCGTGTCAGACTCCCTTCAGCGATAGCTTCCAGTGCGGCCTGTGCCTCTGCTTCCTTTTCTTCCTTCTTCTTTATCCCATACTGCAGGGAAGAAATAATACATTGTCAGTCACCCACTGAACAGGATGAATGATGAAGCCAGCCATCACTCATGGTGCCTTATATTCTGCAGTATGAACAACACTGTTAATATTCTGCTTTTGCTCTTTTACGCAGACATTCAAATTATCCATCCTAACAACTCCTCCCCAAGTACAGCTCAGTGGATGGACAGCTCTCACAAGAGAAGATGGTCAGATGCTCAGACCACTCAGAACCAAGCACGGGACAGAATTTGGGACTATACAGATGTGGGCCTAGTAAAGATAATACAAGGTCTGTGTTAGTAAATTTTTGGGGTGGTATTCTACTGGTGTTGATCCTCCTCTTTTCTGTTGACAAGCCTGATGCTCAAGTCCATCATCCACAATGATTTTGAAATTCTATCACCTGCAGCATTTTATATTAAAGGTTTATAGATGTGGCAAAGCATCAGGAAAAATATAATTATCAACAAAAGAAAGCAAACAGGACAAGACAGACAGACAGACTGCAGTGAAAATGACAGTTTTAGACGTGCTCATGTAGGAGATACCCTACACAACCTCATCACTGTTCTCTTGGTATAAGTGGGACTGGAAGACCTCTTAGCGAAAATAAACCTTCATGAGAAACTACGAGTGTATTTGCACAATGAACTCTGCACTTCTGGGGGTAAAGATGACTCATACTGTCTGAAGAGAAATATCCTTAAGCCTTCAAGTAGAATGCATACCTGAAATTTGCTACTCCCATTAAGAATTAAAGGCACACCACTAAGACTTTATATGAGTAACCAGAATCTCATTTTATGATTTCATATTCAAATTGCTAGAGCTAGTAGGCGAATAAAGATATGCATGAGTGAATCAGACTAGGGAGAGAAGTGCTGTAGTATCTCAGCTCCCACAATGACTAGGACTCTCTTTGCAACTGTTAGTTTGAACGCATGTCCAAGGAAAACAATCTCTGCACCACTAACTCTCATCACTCCTCAGCCTTCATACATTTCAGTAATTCTCAGGTTTTCCATAGTGTTTCCACAGACATTTTGGAGATTATGATGATACATGATAAAAAAAAAAAATCAACTCAAACGGTCACATGCAAATCTACAGCAACAAGTACACCTGCAAGCTACCCTTTCTATTAGAGAATCATAGAGTCATAGAACAGTTTGTGTTGGAAGGGACCTTTAATGTTCTTCTAGTCTAACTGCCCTGCAATGAGCAAGGACACCTTTGACTAGATCAGATTGCTCAGAGACCTGCTGTTTATTTGGACCAATTTAAATTTCCCAGATTGTTTCCATTTTATTTGACATAAATGGAGGTTAAACTTTCTTGGTTTTGTGATCATCAATACAATCTCAGGAGGTGTCCCATTTCTTGCTGCCCAGCTGTGTTTCAAAGAGGCCAGCCACAGGTTTCAAGGATGCTTCTGGTCCTCAGGCTCACAGCTCCCAGGCTGGCAGGAACATTCTTTTGCTCAGTCATTTCACCTTCTAACTATCTGCCTTTACGGCTGCTCACACCAGCCTGCTCCTGCCCTATCAGCTCCTCTGCCACCAGTGACCTCTTATAATTATTTCACTGTAGCTACATTAAGGAGGCATTTGACCTTTGTGAAGAAGACGAAAGGCACATCAGAACCACAATGTAGCTAACTTAAACCCATGCAAAGGTCAGCAAAACATTTTGCATGAATAAGCTTGAAAAGAACCATGAAAGGAAAATCAGATGTGATTTCAAAGACATCAAAGAATTATGTTGGTACAAAGTCCTCAGTATTTTATAGTATCAATAGTATGGTACTGCTGAATGGACATGAAGTAGATGCTCTTTTCATGATTTTCTCTCTCCATCTTTTCCATTAAGAATAGACCAAACTGTAAAGCAAAAATGCATTGCTGCTGTCACGACTTTCTGATTTCAAAGAGCTCTTTGAAATCCTAAACATTTCTGAGCAAAGGCAGTATTTTTGTTTCCCTTCTCCATCATCATTAAGATTTAGATTGACAGCCTGCAAGGTTGAAACCAGTAACTTCAAACCCCCTTAGTTCTCTAAATCGATTCTTTCAAGCCAAAATGTTGATTAAGACCCTTTGTCTTACGACTTTTACACCTAGTGGATGCCAGTCACTCCAGATTTCATGGGAGAGATGTTCAAGACAAATGATGTTTCCATTCACATCTGAGCCAAATGAAGCATTTGATCAACTTGTAGTTACAGGGCTGAACACCACAAAAAAGATCCAACACAGGACCAGCAACCATTGCAGGGGAAATGACATACACTGCTAGGCTGTGGACCATCTGTATGGCTGGCTGATACTCACTGTCCCTCTCAAGTCACAGCTAGATGTCTCTAGCTGATTCCCAGTGTAATTTATCTACAGACTTTACCTTCCTTTGCTAGCTAGAGGAGAAGAGCAGTAGTGGAGACAACACAAATCATACTAACACACAGGTCGTCGGCATGCTTTCAAATCCTCCATCTCAAAACAAGTATCAGCTCATGGTGGGTTGATCCTTTAGCTCATGAACTTGTTGAACAAACATCCAGGCCCTAGGAAACTGTGAATCAAAACCAACCACTCAAGCACTACTGTGTGCTAGGACAGAGGGAGTCTCAAAGGTTACGTGAAGGAATTAGCACTGTACTTGTCAGTCTGTTCTGACACGTTTCCATAGGAAGCCTCTACTTATTGCCCTTAGAGAATTGCACAGTGCTAGACAGACCTTAGCTCTTGAAAGATATGGCCAGTCTTATGGGGCAGCTGCAGAATGGGGCTTGGAAAGATTTTTCCCTATAGAAGGGCACTAAGGAAAAAACAGATTCTATTGTTCCAGCTTACTGGCACAAATGCCAAGTCAGAAATTAATTTTTCTTGGTTCCCACCCATAGTGATGCTACAACATGTAGATACAAGCCATTTCCCTATTACATATGTAACATTCAAATACTAATTATTTTGGACAAAAGTATTCTTCTTCCGGAGAAAGATGACATTGTATCAAAAGCAATTTTTATAAGAATCAGTTTTGAGAATTCAGTATTATAATTTAAACTAGTGGTATTTTGTAATGCTTTACATTAATCAAAATGTAATGCTGTTGTGATTCATAGGTGAATAAAATGGCATTTTTCAGGTTTGAAATTGTGCTAGAGGAAATCAAATTATAGAAAGAAAAGTCTTAATATAAGCAAAATTTTAAAAAAGCATCTTAGTGTCTTCACAAGAAACCTTTTAGGTAAAGACAACAAATAATTTTTAAAAATATAATAAAAATCATTCTGGTGCTCTGGCTTTCCTGAGGATAGGAAATACTGTATTATCTTCAAAAAATTCAAAAAATAAGAACAACTTATTTTTTTCAAGATCCAACCCAACAAAATTTAGTACCAGAGCCTGTATTTGTATCATTACCAGCTTGGCCTTCACTCATGCCACATATAGTTAATAATGTAGAATTATGGACCTAACCCAGCAAGATATTGAGACATTTTAAGTATGTGAACCATCTTGCTGCTCCTAAAGTCATTCCTATGCTGTGGCATGAGGATTGTTTTCACTGGGTCATATGTTAGTGAAATACTGGCAGGCTGGAGTCCTCAGTTATCAGGTGGAAAGAATAGGGAAAAAATACCATGGCACTTGGTTTACCCCATACTCGCTGACTGCATGTCAGGAAAAGACCAGACTAACAACTGCCATCTACTTCCTCCCCATTTCTTTCCTTCCCTATTCCTTATGCTTTCCACAGGAAGCCAAAGTAAGTGCATGAACTAGAAACATGCTGGAAATTCGATCTCACTCTAATGGCAGTAAGGGTGTCAAGCAAGGAACAAGGGGACTGTTGAGCCAAGGTGGACCTACAGCTAAAATGTCAACCCACCACAAATAATAGTTACCATTTCTTATGACAAGCTAACCATTGCTTATGAAAAATGAACACATCTATCCAGCAAATATCTGGGCCACAGAATGAATAAAGCAGTAACATCACAGTTAAGACACTTGCAGAAGTAACTGCTTATCTCTGGGTCAGTTGTGGAACTGACTCTCCAGGAAGACCGCTGCAATGAAGGTGCAATTGAGTGGTTATCTTTGGATCAGTTTTAGAACTGATTCCCTAGAAGCAACACCTCATTTATCTGGAGAAGCTAAGGAAATACAGAAGGAGATTTGTGGGGGATACAAAGACAACTCAAAGACTGCATGGTGGGACCAGCAGAAGATTATCAGTGCAGAGGATCCTGGAGTCTGAGAATAAACTGCTGCTGAGATGAACATCTTTCCCATTGAAATGCCAGGCAGGTTGCCCCTGGGACTCACATACTCTGCATGGGGATTTGAAAGACAAACAGAATCGTCTTGCTGACATTAGCGGGTTGGGTTAACCATAACAGAATAACCATAACATTATTATTTCTAATATTTACCATGACTGTATGCTGCTAAGACTATTCTAGTTAACTCGCCAAGTTTATAGTTTTTCACATGATTGTATCTGCTATTGCCATGGTTGAACTATCATATTTTACAGTCTCTGTAAATCATTAAATATCATTATATATATACTTTGTATAGTCACAGCTTCTGTCATCACTGGATACTTTCACAGAATCACAGAATGTTAGGGGTTGGAAGGGACCTTGAAAGATCATCTAGTCCAACCCCCCTGCCAGAGCAGGACCACCTAGAGTACATCACACAGGAATGCGTCCAGGCAGGTTTTGAACATCTCCAGAGAAGGAGACTCCACAACCTCTCAGGGCAGCCTGTTCCAGTGCTCTGTCACCTTCACAGTGAGAAAGTTTTTCCTTGTGTTCACATGGAACCCCCTATGCTCCAGCTTGCACCCGCTGCCCCTTGTCCTGTCACTGGACATCACCGAGAAAAGCCCAGCTCCATCTTCCTGAAACTCACCCTTTACGTATTTATAAACATTAATGAAGTCACCCCTCAGTCTCCTCTTCTCCAAGCTAAAGAGACCCAG